CGAAGCCATTTGCAAACCTCTGGCGGCGTTCGCTTGCCTCCAAAAACCTTCTCCCAGCGACGGCCGCACCTTCACTGATCATGCTGCCTGCCGGGAGTTGGGGTTTATTTTCCTGTTCCCATTAGGGCAGCTCTCGCCCTCAGCCTGCCCAGCCCTGATGCTCTGCTGAAAGGCTGGGAGCTGTGGGCTGGGAGAAGCAAAGCCCCCCTGGTGCCCCGGCCCTGCCCGGGCGCTCCTGTTGGGCGAGATAAGACCATGCTGGAAACCAGGCGGGGAGAAATTTGGTGCCTGAGCCGCCTGGGAGCATCTCTCATCCCCGTGGCAGCCCAACTTGCCCCAGCTGCCTGCAGGGCTGGAAGCTGGGGTTTGCCCGGGATTCGCCACGCTCGGAGCCAGGGTACACGAGGGTGGAAGAGTCCTTTCTTCACCCCTGCCTCGCTCTGCGGCTCCGTGACCCCTTGGGCTTGTCCCTCTCTCTGGAGTCCCTGCTGGGGGCTTGCGCCCAGCATGTTGTGCAGCGTGGCTGGGACGGGGCATCCATGGGGCTGGGGCTGGTGGGGTCTCTGTGCTGGGGAACAGAGGTGACAGCTGATGGCCATGGCCAGCAGCTGGGCTGGGGTTTGTGGACAGCAGGGCTCAGCCCGGAGCTGGGGCACCAGACCCCTACAACTGAGCCACCGTCCCAAAAGCTCTGCAGGGGGAGAGCTGTGGCTCTGTCCATCATATGGGAGGGAGAAGACGAGGAGCAAGAGCATTTATATCCCAAAGCAAAGTGCTGACAGACCCAGGCACCCTCGGAGGGTGAAAGCGGCACCCGTGCCACCGTCCCTGTCACCTCTGCAGTGTTGGAAGGCTGCAAATATTGGGGTGGCCTGGGCGCGAGGGCTCCCTGTGGCCCTGCTGAGGGAGCCCCACGCGGGGCGGGCAGCTCTCTCTTTCATGTCTGATCCCTCCCGAAACCACAGCTTCCCTTCGCCCCGCGCGGGGATCAACCGCGGGTCATATTTAATAAAGGTGGGGATGGGAGAAGGCTTCAAAACATTACGTCACCTCGGTGTGGGGGAGGCAGAGGCAGGCAGGGAATGCAAAAATCTCGTCGCAAGTGGGGGCGGAGGAGAAAAAAATATCAGTGAGGGGATTTAATGGCCCTGTTTTGGTGGGAACTCTCTTGCCCACTGCCTGCGAGGTCAGAGGCGGTGTGTCTGCACGCGCTCAGGCGTTAAATGAAACTGTAAGAAAAAAAATGAGACGCATATACGAAATGCGTAAGCGCGTCCGTGGCAGAAATCCCCCGGCGCCGCCGTGCCGGGTTCCCCTGCCGTGGTGGCTGGCGGGAGAAATCCCCGCTGGTCCCCGGATCCCGTGGCTTCCGAGTCCCCACGCTGCCTGGGGTGAGGGTGGGTGTGAAGCTGCCCTGGTGAGGACGTAGGGGGGCTCTGGCAGGGGGTCCCCGCC